CGGGGCAGGGCGGAGCGGGCGGGGTCGGCGGGCAGCCTGGGGCGCGCTCTCCTCCGCTGGCCGTCGGCGCAGTCCGCGGGCTTGGGGTGCGACGCCCGTGCGCTGAGGGTTGGAAGGTCCGGGGGCGCCCCAGGGCAAGGGGGGAACGAGCTGCACCCGCAAACACCCCCGGTGGGGTTTGAGCTGCAGTCGGGGACGAGGGTCGCATCGCAGCTGAATAGGAACTATGCCCTCGGGAGGCAGAGCTGTTTGGGTCGTGGCTGCGAGCCACCTGCGGAGGCGGGGAGGGCAGGTTCCTGGGAGGAGGGAGCCCGTCTTGCGGGCTCGAACGGGGTGGGGGGCACAGGCAGCCGCTGGGGGGCCGGGCCCTGCCGCCGAGGAGAGGCAGTGTCCCCTTCTCGGTGTCCCCTCTGAGAACCTGATTGTTGTCGGGGGAGTTGCGGGGCGGGGGGAAGTTGACGGGTTTCGCGCTTTGCTGGTGGAGGATGTGGCCCACACCTTCGCAGCAGTCAAGACTTCTGAACAACAGAGAAAACTGGCTTTTGAACAAGAATGCCACCAAGGACAGGAGCTGCCGCACAGAATGGCAGGGGTCGCGCGCTCAAGTATGGGCGCTGAGGTGGGGGCGCCCCCCGCCCCGTGTCTAGGAGTCTCGCTCCCCGCGTCGGTAGCTGGGGTAGAGGTGAAGGCTGTTTTCCTTCCCCGCCTTCAGCTGGCAGTCCCAGCTCCGAGGAAGGTGGACGTAGCAGCTTCTCGGTTTTGAGCGCATTCCCGTTGCGTGTTTGTCCGGTGGCCACCGCCGGGGTGTGAGCCTACTGGTGATTTTGGGGGAGCGTGCCTGTTCACCAACACAGAGCTGGGGCTCGAGGTACTGCAGCGTTTATGGGAAGTTGGCAGGTGCCAGGACTGCTTATTAATTGCGGTTCTTGGTCCCAGCAGGAACTTTTGATTCACACCTGAGCTGTTGGGTGTGGTGGAAACAGTGCCGTTCTGGCAGTCAGGACATGAGTTCTCGACCTCATTCTGCCCAGCACTGTGTGTCTAGAAGGCACAGTCACTCTGGACTTCTCATGGATGAGGACGTTGGGGTAGCTGATCCATAAGCCGCACCCCCCCCTCCCGTCTAGAATTCTATGATTGACTTACCTCCCAATCTCAAAAGTTTGGAAAATGAACTCATTTTTTCAACCTTTCTGCACCTTGAATTATTATAGAATTCGCCAAATATTTCTTCTGGGTGTATTCATTTGAACTTTTTATGATGTGATTCCCCCCCCCCCCCTTTGCCTTATTTTGGGAGGGAAAGCAAAGCTGGGAATGGAGGTAGGCCTGAGAAGGAGAAAGCTGGTTTGGGAGGCAGAAAGATACCTACTCTGGGCTTAACCTAATGGCCAGGAATTTTTCCTTCCAATGCATCAAGTTCAAGGTGTGCCAGCACTGTGAGCCCAGAAAATTCTTTCCTCAGCTCCAGCCTATGGGGACTGCAGATGGTGTGCAGCAGTGGAAAAATGTGATTCAAGGATCAAGTTATGGAAAACTTTTTTTTTTTCCTCCAAAACACAACCCATAACTTCTGAGGACTAAGGAGCATAGTTTCCCTTCTTTACAGGTGGTATTGGGGCGGGGGGATTTTTAAGGCAGTTGCCAAAGGTAGGATGGGGGCAAGTTATTTTTACCTACCCCTCTTTTGGTAAGAGAGAGACCAAGGTTCACTTCTGAGGTAATAGCAAGTGCTAACAAGTCACACTTGACAATAAAAACCAAATGGACAGCAGCCGGAGGAAGCCCACAGAGCGGGTAGGGATGGAAAGAATTTTCTGGTAGCCATTTTTACTCTTTGTAAGTGTTTGGATATTGAGAATCATGAACTAAACATCTGTGCACAATATGATGGGAAAGACACTGTCAGAATTGGAATATTAGACAGGGAAGTGGCACCCAAGATGATTTGGTGCAATGCTCCGAGGCCCCAAGACTGGGGAGGAAAGAGGAAGCAGGGGAGACCCGCCCACTGGAGGAGAAACTCAAAATCCTCAGCATACCTTTGGCAGTCAGGGCGCTTGAAGAGGGCATGTGCTTCCTGGCTCGTCTTGCCTCTGGCCAGGCTCCGGGTCATTAACTCTTATGATTAGTTCACACTCTGCTGTGGTTCTTCACCAAAAAGACTGCCAAGTTTGCAGCCATGTCCTCAGGAGCTGCAGGACCCCAGGGTGGTCCCTGGCTAGCCGGGGGTGGCAGGAATGCCCAGTGTGGAATGGGGGACCCAGCAGCCAGGTCCCCTCCTTCCAGCTACACATAGAGCAGCTCTGCTTTTTCCTCCCCCCCTTATATGCTGTTCTGAGTAAGATTTTGTTTGGGGAAAAGAGTCTAATGCTAAACAGAAAGTTTAGAAATCATGGTAATGGCCAATATTTTTGGAATTTTGCTGTTGGCTTTATTCCATGGAAAGAACTTAGAACCATGCCTGGCCCACAGTAAGCAGTCATTGTTATCATCATTATCTTCATACTTTCCTTTTTTTGAAAATATTTATTTAATTCAGTTAGCCACCATATAGTACATTAGTTTTGTTTTTTTTTTTCTAAGATCTTATTTATTTATTTGAGAGAGAGAATGAGAGAGAGCATGAGAGGGGAAAGGGTCAGAGGGAGAAGCAGACTCCCTGCTGAGCAGGGAACCCGGTGCGGGACTCGATCCGGGGACTCCAGGATCATGACCTGAGCTGAAGACAGTTGCTTAACCAACTGAGCCACCCAGGCACCCAGTACATCATTAGTTTTTGATGTAGTGTTCAACGATTTATTAGTTGTGTATAACACCCAGTGCTCCTCACAACACGTGCCATCCTTAATACCCATCACTTGGCTACCCCAGCCCCGTCCCCTCTGAAACCCTCAGTTTGTTGCCTGGAGTCCATAGTCTCTCATGGTTTGTCTGCCTCTCTGATTTTCCCCCCTTCAGTTTTCCCTCCCTTCTCCTATGGTCCTCTGTGCTATTGCTTATGTTCCCCATATGAGTGAAACCATATGATAATTGTCTTTCTCTGCTTATTTCACTTATCACAGTCCCTTCCAGTTCCATCCATGTTGATGCTAATGGTGGGTATTCATCCTTTCTGATGGCTGAGTAATATTCCATTGTATATATGGACCATATCTTCTTTATACATTCATCTGTTAAAGGGCATCTCGGCTCCTTCCACAGTTTGGCTATTGTGGACATTCATCATTTCCTTACACCGTGAGGTGGTTGTTATTTTTATCTCTTATTTTATTGCTACCAAGTCACATACAACTTGTACAAGTTTTCCCACTTCCCACATAGACTTTTCTACTAATTAAAAGATGTGTTCCTCAAAACCATGGAATACATTATTCCAAAGCTGTTCAAGGATGCCTTTATGTACAAAGCAGATGTTTCTGATCCACCAAATGCAGTCTTTGCCCCGTTCCCTTGGGCAGTCCTAGGTACCACACTGGGTAAATAGGTGAGTTTATCTGGTGAGCACTTCTGTGTTTAAAGGGAGTGTGGGCAAATCAGAATGGCTAAGGACCAGAGAGCTGGTCCATGGCAAGAAGAATGATGAGGATTGTGGGGCTCATACATTCCCCCCTCAACACGGACTGCTAAGGGGTGCTTCCAATTGTGATCTTCTTCTAGAACCAGTGCCGTCAAAGACTCTGCTCTCCAGGACCTGAACAATGGGTGGAGGGGGTGCTAGCAGTGGTCAGTGGGTGCCAAGGAGGAGAGGAGTGAGTAGCTGGGGTTCTTTGTGTGCTAGTTGTAATCTTCAAGAGAAATATTTTCCATCTTTAAAAGATAGTTTGAGGGCTTAGGAACAAAAACAAATAAGCAAAACCCCAACGCTGCAATTAAAACATGCACAACAGAATGTTTAAAACCAAATGGTCTGTAGTTGGTATTTTTTGCCAGCCCGTTTGCCCCACTTTGATACTTTTACATTTCTGTGAGATGGATTTGATGCCAAACACAATGTAAGTTTAGTAGCAGGTGCTTTAGCTGAGTCGAAATCCCAGATTGGCACAGTTATGCACTTGAAAATGACCTTTCACCTGGCTTCCTGGCGTGGGTGGGTGCTGTCTCCTGTGTCTCTAGCACCACAGTTGTCCTTGCCACGGAAAACAGTGGGCATTTGATGGAGACACAGCCCACGGATAGTCTTAGGTAATCTTCACAACCACCACTCTGACGGAATTTGCTCCAAGTTTCCAGCTAGTAAGTGGTGGCCAGGATTCAAGCCTGGCAGCGTGGCTCCATCCAAAACCGATTCTTCACCGTCCACCTCTTCTGTCTCCTGAAACTCGGTTCAGGATTATACCTGAGAGCACTCTGGTGTCCGGGTTCCCTCCCCACATTTCAGTTCTTCCCAATTAAAGTTGGGTTATCATTTCAATACCCCACTGTTGCTCCACGTAACTCACAGGTCTGGGGGACAGAAGAAGTGAGACTGTGAGAAAGTCTTCATGATCGAGCTAAAACTTCCAACATACATGGTTGCTTTTTCTTAGCTATGAAAGCCCCTGCGTCATCTTGAGAGGAGTGAGTGAGTTATTGGGCCCGTGGATTTGACCTTTTTCTTCTGTCCACTTGAAATCTCTGGTAAATGTGCAGTTA